GTATTCACTGTCACATCTTTAATTTAATTTAATTTAATTTAATTTTTTTCACTGTGCAGTTCCTCTGGTTTTAAGTGAATCTTTCCCCATCTCTCTCTTCCGAATCCCTAAATTCTGGTTTCAGTCAATAGGACTGAGCAGATGGAAAGAAGTAGTCAGATAAAGCTAGAAACACATACTTAAGAAATCCAAAACAGATGTGTAATAGACAAAGTGCCTGCGAACCACCTCGGGTCTTTATCAAAATACGTGGTTGTGACTAAATTCTTCTGAGAAGTCTCTGTACCTTGAATCATCGCATTTTTCATAGCTGGAAGGATGCGCAAGAATCACTTAATTCAACTCCCTCACTTCAGAGACGAGTAAACAATCCCAGAAGGGCTCGGGGACTCAATCATGTCACAGACCCAACAGCAGGTTCTGGAGTCAAACCAAGTTCTTCTGGCTTGAAGTCCACGGCTGTCACCCCATCATGAATCCCATGGATGCATCATTTAGAAGAGGGGGCCCAGAAGATTTTAATTCACATGAAGACCCAGATCCAGTACACCCTGCTGCCCCCAGCACTAAGATCAGGAGGATTCCGAGCCCCGCTGCAGAGAGTGAGCAGCAATTGATTAGCAATGTCTGCCAGGGGCAGGCAGGGGTGGTGGGGTCTGCACTAGGTCTGTGCCTCTTCTGCTTTAGGAATTTCAAGGCAAGAATCTGTTACATTTCTAAAGTTCAAGTGAAAAAGCTCTTCCCCTTCACTGTTCCACAGTATCAGGTTTATTTTTTTGTTTGTATTGCAGTAGAGTTGGTTTACAGTGCCGTGTTAATTTCTGGCGTACAGCACAGTGCTTCAGCTATACATAAACATACTCCTTTTCATAGTCTTTTTAATTACAGGCCATTACAAGATAGTGAATACAGTTCCCTGTGCTCTACAGTAGTACAGTAGGGGGCTTAAAATGCCATGACTGTTACCTTTATAAGTCATTGTATCCCTCTGGGCCTCAGTTTTGTCCTTCAGTACAGTGAGTAAGAGGAGGTAATTCTGAAGAAAGTTTCAAACCCCAATATGCTGATGTCATAAAAGCACCTTTCACCCCAAGCCCACCTTGAAGCCTGATGAGCACAGAGAAGATACCGAGTCCTGCCCTCCGGGACCCGGCCCAGCCCTGACAACTCACTGCAGGGCATGGTGAGCGTCTGAGCCAAATAGCACTAGCCTCGTCCTGGGCTAAACCCATCACCATCACAGAAGCGCCCAGGTGACGTGTGTTCTCTCTCTCCTCTGTGTTGGCATTTCTCTTCTTACTCATTTCCATGCTTCTGCCGTGGACCCCAGTCACAGTTATTAAAGCAGAAAACGTCTCTTGTTCTTTGACCACACATCCAGTGAGGCCCAGCAGAAACCACAGATTTGTTAAACAATAAATCACCAAGGGCTTCGACTTCCATTAACTCTCCAGCCAACGCTAACACTTGAGGCTTTGTGCTGTGGATTCTTTCAACAAAGAAAAAACGAATCTGGGAGGGATATTTTAAAGGAAGAAAGTCAGGACGCCTGGGACAGGGGTCTCTGATCTGCGCACGTGACGAAATGCTGCTGCTTCAAAGACGTCTCTAAAAGCTGCTTTTACGGGCATAAGATGCTGCTCATCTCAGATCACTGTACTCCCTTCGTTCTGCCGTTCCTTTCAGAAGGAGTCTGTCTTTACTAAACAGGCTTACGATCTAGACACCTAGGAGCTCATCAGGATAGGAAGTGGCCGGTCGCCTCCCCCTCAGTAAGGCTTTGAATCACCAAAGTTGCAGCTTTCTCTCTTCTGTAAGAGAGTTAACTGTTTTTGTGCCTGACATTAAAAAACACCTCAGAAGGGTGGTAACACCTGGTGTGGGCCAGGATGCAGAGGAGGGGTGCTCATGTGTTGTTGCTGAGAGCATAAAACAGTATGATCTTTTAGAAGCACAAACCAAGCAGCATCAATCAAATTACTGACCAGGCCCTTCCATTATTTGAGTCCTGTCTGCCTGCCGCACCGAGATCTGTGTGCGGGCGTGTTCAGGGCAGCAGTGTGGATGATGGTGACGCAGGGGAAACACCCCAAGTATCTACGAACAAGAAAATGGCTAAAGAAATTGTGGTACCTCCGATCCACAGTAGGGACTACACTGTGACTGCTAAAAAAGTGTCTATTTTAAAAATATCTAAAAATATATAAACTGACAGGTGAACTACATATAAACTAACATGGGAGAATATCGAAAATATATGTCGATAGTAAATAATCTTATGGTTACCAGGGAAGGGGGGGTGGGAAGGGATAATTTTGGGAGTTTGAAATTTACAAATGTTAGCCACTATATATATAAAAATGGATTTTTAAAAAAAGTTTCTTCTGTAGATAAACAAGATTGTACCGTGTAGCACAGGGAAATATATACAGGCTATTGTGGTGGCTCACAGCGAAAGAGAATGTGACAATGAATGTATGTATGTTCATGTAAAACTGAAAAATTGTGCTCTACAATGGAATTTGACACAACATTGTAAAATGACTAAAACTCAATAAAATGTTTAAAATAAAATAAAATGCAAAAAAAAGTTTCTTCTGTATAGCACAGGGAACTATGTTCAGTATCTTGTAATAAATTTTAATGAAAAAATATGAAAATGAATATATGTATGTATATGCATGACCAGGACACTGTGCTGTGCACCAGAAATGGACACACTGTAATTGTATTTCAATTAAAAAGAAAAAAGAAAACACGTCGAGAGGAAATTAAGGTATAGACCCATTTGCATTATCATTGAAAAAATCTGTGCATGTGTCTGCATTTACAACTGCATTTTTAAAAGGAGTCCAGGTAGTTAGTCACCAAACTATTAACATTGATGACGTGTGGAGAAGGCGTGGGCCGGGGAGAGGGTGAGATGGAAGGCCCCCGTGTTAGTCCAGCCCTGCGTTCCATCCTGCCATCAGTGTGTACGGAGCACCTACTGTGGGCTGCACTCTGGTCTTGAAGCTGAGGTCAGAGCTTACATTCCTGTCGGGGAGACAGACGGTGAACAAATAAATAAACAAATAATGCCAGGTAGTGATAAAGTCTCTGAAGAAAACGGCAGATTGTGAAGGCGGGGCCGTAAGGAGGAGGGCAGGAATTTTACACAGGGGAGTCAAGGGAAGGCCTCTGTGCCAGAGGTGACATTTCAGCAGGTTAAGTGACTCAAGGGAGAGGAGTGCGCCCGCCGAGAACCAGCTCCTGCAAATCCCAGAAGTGGGAAGGAGCTGCGTTCAAAGAGAGAAGAGGCAGAGCAAACAAGGAGGGAGGCCACAGGAAATAAAACCTTGGAAAATCTGCTGCAGCCAGATCACGCAGGAGCTCGTCAGCCAGAGCAAATAATTTGGATTTTATTCAGAATGTGATACAACCATTGACGAGAGGTGAGCTGGGGAAGGACCTGCTCTGATTTAGGATTCCCCCAGCTGCTGTGGGGGGGACCGACTGCATGAACGGGTGAGCGTGGGAGCAGAGAAGTAGGTTTTGTTCTGCAAAGGATACTGTTAAAACGAAAAGATAAGCTACAGACTGAAAGACAGCGCAGACCTCACACCTGACAAATGATCCGTATCCAGGATACGTGACGAAAGGAAGAACGAAAGGACTCTCAACATTCAACGATTTAAAAATAACCCCATACGTAAAGGAACAGAAGTTCTGAACAGAATTTCACATTCAAAGATGCTTTTATGATCAGTCATTAGGAAAATGCAACTTAGGGCTGTAATACTCCTCCACATGTGTCAGGATGGTCTGAAACATTTTATAAGCTGATAGCATCATGTGCTGATGAGGTTGCAGACCAGCTGGAACTCACAGCATCCTGGTGGGAATGCAGAAGGGTGCAGCCTCTTTGTAACAAACTGCCCGGCTGCTTTCCGAAGTTAAACATACAGCTTTCATATAATCCAACAATCCGCCTCCTAGGTGTTAATCCAGGTGAAAAGGACACAAAAACTTCCATGCACATGTTTACAGGAGCAGTGTTAGTGCAGTCCTCCCTCGGTATCTGAAGGCCACTGGTTCCAGGAACGCCCCGCCCCCACCCCACCAAAATCTGAGGATGCCCAGGTCCCTGAGATAAAATGGTGCAGTATTTGCATATAACCTACACATCCTCCTGTACACTTTAAATTGTCTCTAATACTTCTAATACTGGATACAATGTAAACACTCCATGAACAGTCTCCAGTACATGGCAAATTCAAGTTTTCCTTTTTTGGAACTTCTGGAATTTTTTCCCCCTCAAATTTTCCATCTATGGTTGTGTTGGTTGCATCCACGGATGCAGAACCTGGGATTATGGAGAGCCGACTGTAATGATCAAAAGCTGGAATCAATCCAAATACCCCTCAACTGAGGATGGGGAAATACACTGTGGCACGTGCATACAAGGGAATACTACTCAGGAGTAAGAGGGGAACAAACTTGAAACACGCAGCGACACGGGTGAACCGCAGATGCATTTTCCTAAGGGAAAGAAG